GTTTAAAATGCACTCATCAATGCTGCTTCTTTCTAGCCCTAAATATAAAAATAGTTCAGTTGCAGTTTCCCTTCAATACATAGGCTGATGGTACAGGACTATGACATGGGTTACACTGTATGGTTAACTTAGCCTTTGTCGAAAGGTACAGTAAGACAAAATAAAGGTGATTTGCTTTAACAGCTGCAGCAACTCGTTTCCTTCTACAAGGTGCTCAACAGGACAGTGGAAGTTATCGCATCTAATCACACGACTAATACACAAAATATGAAACCAACTTTTATCACATAACAGTCACGATCGCAAACCCCTCCTCTTAAGGGCGCTCCAGCCCTTCCTCGTTTGTTTCATCTCCCACACCTGTTCCCTGTTCCCTGTTCCAGCCCCTTTTCAGTTCCCCCTTAAAAGCCAGACGCTGACGCTAATCCGGGCTCTGCATCGTGCGAGCCCGGGACCTGGATGCGCCTGGCTCCCTTATGGTTTTAGTTTCTGTTTCTTGTTCTCGTTCCTGTCCCCCCTGCCGGTCCCAACCCGGTTCTGATTTTCATCGTCTGTCTCAGATGGATCGCCTGGCCTTGGACTTTTGCGTCGTTTTGGATTCCCCGTTTGACTCCTCCCTGGATCGTTTGCCTCGGCCACACCTCCCCCGACCACCGGCACTCCATGGACACGCCCCCCTGTCTTCATCCCCGCCTCCTGCGTGCCTTTTTCCCTCCTGTTTTCTCACTCAACCCCGGATTGTGTCGTCTGCATAGGGTCCGGAAAGAACTCTCCCTGACAATAACGAAGGTGAGAGAAACTTCATTCCGAGCCTATGTACGGTATACAGAGTAAGAGATGGGAATCCCGTGCAGTGTGTGGGTCTGTGGGGCAGACCCAGTGTGCGTCGCTGTCCTAATCAAGCTCAATAGACATGAAACGGCACAAGGCTGTGTCCTCCTCTGGGGAAGAATTTCCCACAACGCAGGACTTGTATTTGTGGACTTGTATACGTGCTGCGCCGTAGCTGGTGCCATCACCTGAACAGCAGATTTCAGTGAGCGCAATCGAATTCAACATATCGAATTTGAGACGGTTTAGCTGGCAGGTACTTCTTAATCGTTCACGCAGTGTGCAGATCACGTTCAGACGTTTCTGGGGTGAAACGCCAGCTGCAGAACCTGCACTTATTTGATCATATATCGCACTGACTCTCGTCGAGAAACCCGTCAATGGGACCACAACCAATGCCCTTGTCTCCTGGCTAGCTTAATATCCCTTGGAAAAGGAACCTTTTTGCAGATGCAGTTCTCTGGTTTGTGTGTGCGACCCCTGTGTTCTGAACAGCCAAAAGCTCCACAGTGAGGCATCGTTTAACATGTATACGCGAGTTCAAAAAGACAAAAAGGATGACTGTTGCCAGGAGACCATGTTTCTCATTTGCTTACAGTGACTAGTGAGCAGGAAGGGCTGCTTTCACTACGCCGGGCAAACGTTTGAGGTCAAAATTCTTCCAGGACGGGGGGTACCTTTAAAGAGGAGACGACGTCACCGAAAGTGTGTGGCGCGCCCTCTCTTTAAAGCCCTGGCCAAACACGAAGGCAGTGCGTACAGTTAGAATTCAAACCGAAATAAAAACTACACATCCCAGTTAACATGGAATCGCTTGCCCAGCCTACTTTAATATCGCAATGCGCACAAACTCCTGCCCCGGCCACGGACAGTGGTTTCTCCTCTGCCTGCGACAACATGGCAACCGTGCAGTACTTTCACAAAGTTCACGATTTTGCACTTTATTTGACATTTGTAACATTCTGCAACACGATCAAATGATTTGTTGCCAAAATGCAAGAGCCAGTCTGAGAAATTGGATCTGCAGTTCCCCTTAAGCCTCACAGACCCCCCCCCTGTAACGCTTTGTAAGCTTCCACTGGCAGTGACTGACGAGGCCCTGCCGTGTGGTAGCGGGCTGGTACTCACGGAGCCAGGCCGAGCCGATGAAGAGCAGGAGGGCAGCGATGCCCAGGGCCAGGAGCTGCCGCCCGCGCCAGCCAATCGAAAAGTGACATGCCATCCTCTTCTTCACCCTCTCTGCCCTTCCTCTCTCCTCTGATTACTCCTTCCTCTCCCTCTGGCTCCTTCCTCTCTCCTCTCTGATTTCTCCTTCCTCTTCCTCTCCCTCTGTGTCTTTGCTCGGTCGTACTGCTCTATCCCTCCTTCGTGCCCCTGACGTCCTCCCTGCCTCCGCCTCCCTGCCTCTCCGTCTCGGCTTCGGCCTCGGTCAGCCTCCCCTCTGTCTGCCCCTCTCTCGGAGGTCTGGCTTCCTGTATGTCCAGGTGGGTTGTTTTCTGCACGGTTTCGGGCAAAACCTCCCTCCTTCCTGCCTGCGGCCTCTTCTCTCCAGCTCTGTCTTCCCTGCCCACCTCCTCCGCCTCTCGCTGTCGGTAAAAACCTTTCCGCAAAGTCCAGAGTTTAGCTGCCGTTATTTATTCTTTCCTTTGCATAGTGCGAAGGCCACGTCACTCTGACCTAGGATAACCTACAGAAATTGCTCTGTTGCAATCACACTGTTATCTCAGCTGGGCAGGGAAACTCAGTCCAGCCTATCTGTAACTACACAGCAACACTCATCACCA